GACGACAGCACTGGAGACGCTTTCTACACAGGCCGTGCAAACATCCCTCGCTCCGCTGTGGTAGAAAGTCGCGAAAAACTTGTGTCTCCAAATCGAGAGTATTCTTTCCAGAGTCTCCGATTGGGGTCGGGACAATTTAGTCCAATTTAACCCCTCCAAGACACAAGTTTGTGCGTTCACCGCTAAGAAAACCCCATTTACTGTGGCCCCTCAATTCCAGGACACACCCCTAACCATCTCCAACAGTATTGGTATTCTTGGTGTCGACATATCCAGCGACGTCCAGTTCCGAAGTCACCTGGAAGACAAGGTCAAGCTGGCATCCAAAAAGCTAGGTGTGCTTAATAGAGCGAAGCGGTACTTCACGCCAGGACAAAGACTGCTTTTTATATAAATCGCAAGTCCGTCCCATATGGAGTACTGCTCGCATCTCTGGGCGGGAGCACCGGCATACCAGCTTGGGGCCTTTTGACTCGGTTCAGAGGAGAGCTGTGAGAATTGTCGACGATCCAATACTCACAAGCGATATAGAGCCCCTAAGTCTAAGAAGAGATTTTGCGTCCCTATGTGTGCTCTATCGTTTGTACAATGGGTTGTGTCCGAAGAATTGTTCGAAATGATGCCCACGGCCACTCACTTTCTATCACCGCACCGCTCGCCATCGACAGGGAGTTCATGCTCACACATTGCAGCCCAAATGGTCCCGTACAGTTCGGTTTCAGAGGAACTTTCTCCCACGGACCATCTCGCTGTGGAATGAACTCCCTGCCGAGGTTTTCCCAGAGGGCTACAGTATGGGGTCCTTCAAAAGGGGAGTAAATAGGTTTTTAAAGGGTCGGCAACGCGCATGTGATGCCCAAGGTGTTGCAGGCGTCCATAGGCTGCGGTAACCGCTTACCATCAGGCGGGCCGCATGCCTGATTGCCACCGACGTGGTATAAAAAAAAAAAAAAAAAAAAAAAAAAAAAAAAAAAAAAAAAAAAAAAAAAAAAACATGTTATATCAATACATATAATAAAATTGTAACTAAGCCGAATCTGTACATTAAATATTTTTTGGTAAATCTTATTGAAACAAGCAATATTAATATTATCGATACTGAGGCCGAATCTATAGTTGTTAGAATTTTTGTCTGTCTGTCTGCTACCGCATCACAGAAAAACCACTGGAGGGATTTTGATGAAATTTGGTATGGTGATAGCTGGTTATCCGGATTTCTGAGAAAAAATACAAAAACTGCATTGTAAAAGTATACTAATATGTAAAACCTAAGAATTTGGTTTTTGATCATCTGAACGCGGGCGGAGCCGCAATGCTAGTTATTCTATAATACAATCATTATCATAAAATAATTAAATTATCCACGTGTTAGGCACATGCACTGCTCAAAAAAATTAAAACGTACCTAGGACGCACCCGAGCGAAGCGAAGGTAAGTTGCTAGTAATAATATATAAGGCACCTTAGGACGCACCCGAGCGAAGCGAATGTAAAACTAGTTCATATATAATTTTATATTCCTGCACATACCGGCAATGCATTTCGTGTACAAGTAACCAGTCAAACCTAATATTACGGTAGACTAGTTTCGCATAGGCATAATAGTTTGTTTTACCTGCACGCTATTGGTCAAACCGGTTAAGCCAAGAATTCTTAATCTTAGTCGTTTATTATTTCTTCCGTACAAAATTATATCTGACCTTGATATTCGTATATTATTAATTTATATTAACTTTACATTTGAAAAAAAATGCATATTCATTGACTAAATGTACGTCATAATTTCATCATTAGCTTTTTTTTAATAATAGCAAAATATTTAAATGCTTTTAATAATAAAACAACAAATAAATGTAACCGATATCAATAACATTTTATTTCTATGCTGTTCAACTAAAATGAACAAATTAATAAAAAAAATCAGAGAAGATTATTATTATAGTTTGTATATATTACGAGTATATGATCTGTGGTTTAGTTATGAAATAGAAATAACGCCTTTTTTTAACTAATTGAATAAAAAAAATATAAAATTATATGACACTATGTCATATTTAGAAAATTATATTAAACTAGCATTGCCCGCGGCTCCGCCCGCGTTCAGATGACCAAAAACCAAATTCTTAGGTTTTACACATTAGTGTACTCTTAAATGGCAGTTTTTGTATTTTTTCTCAGAAATGAGACATTTTCCCGCGATAAAAAGTATCCTATATATTGACCCGGATAACCAGCTATCATCATACCAAATTTCATCAAAATCCCTCCAGTGGTTTTTCTGTGATGCGGTAACAGACAAACAGACAGACAGACAGACAGACAAAAATTCTAAAAACTATAGATTCGGCCTCTGTATCGATAATAATGTCTATTTCAATAAGATTTTCCAAAAAATAATTAATGAACAGATTCGGCTTAGTTATAATTTTATTATATGTATAGATGTAAACGAAGTCCTCAACGATGTGTGTTTGTCTTGTCGTTGTGGGGATGTCATTAAGACGAGGAAGGTTTCGTTAGATTAGAAGGTTAGAAGGCCGTACAGGGTTCTCTAGCCGGTGAGTCCCGTATAACCACCTATATTCATGCAGGTGGTACGCGTATATGTATTTCTAGTTTCATCCGCTTCATTTTTCGCATTCATCCTTAAAAAGATATGTAAACAAAGTGGAAAATAAAATGGAAATAAATATTATGTCAAGTGACAGTTACTAATCAATATTAATGACTAGCGGCTCACCCTCGCTTCGCTCGGGTTTTTCGCTAGGTACGTTTTAAATAGATATAAATAGTTATTAGCCAGCGTTAGCCATATACTTTTTTTTTGTTAATAATATTGACAAATATTGACATTAATATTTATACGATTATAACGTCACTCAATTGCCATCAATGTTTTGCCTTCCCGGAACCTCTCCACTAACACTTAAACTTTATGTTATGGTATTAAAGTTCAAATTGACTTTTAAGTATTATTACGAATCTTTTGTATGGGAGTATAGAAAAGTGTTGTTTTTAAATTATTTCAGGCATTTTTTCTCTCCATAAGAACCATCCTCGTACTTTAAGGAATATTCTAAAAATAGAATTAGCGGAATCGGTCCAGCTGCTCATTTTTATATTATAGAAGATTACTTCATTTTGCTCTGAGCTAGCGGCTGTGAATATTTCTTAATTTATTTTTTTCTTTCTACCTTGTTAATTTTTATTTTAAATTTAGTCGTTACAACGACTTTGTAATATACATATATAGAAAAAAATTAATATAATTATATCGTGAAACGGGCAGAAAGCTACTAAGAGAACAGTCAACGTCCAATTCGTATTCGCATAGGACGAATAAAATCTAAACAAGTTACAAGGTATTGTAAGTTCTGTTTTGCAATACATATTGTACCACGCGAGTAAAAAACGGCATAGTTACACAAAACAATTTTTTAATCGTGTATTATGTTACATTGTGAGGTATAAAGAAATTAAAAGTAAAAAATTTAGATGTTATTTGTTTTTCAATAACAAACTAGTTTTTTTTTTCTCTCAAAAAGAACTTGTTCATGTACACGTCATAGTTTTTTTGATTATAGTAACATATATGGTTGTTTAAATGTATCTAAGACTGGGTACTGTAACTTCCAAATTTCGCTTTTTTTTAACATATTGTTGTTTTTCTATCAATTATTTTGGATTTTGAATAAGTGGAAAAATATAATAGAATAAAATACTTCCAGGCTGATCATGAGTAGACCCGAGCGATATCACTGAAACCAAAACGCTAAAATATCAACATCGTATTAAAATTAAAAGAATATCTAACTGATAATATTAAACCCTAAATGGATATAAAGGGCTCAAATGAATGACATGAAATATTATTCGGCTTTCAAATTAAAAAAAACCGGTACAGGTAACTAGCAACACATGTTTTTTTTTACAGTATTTTATCGGTCTATTACGATCAAAGCGAGTACGAATAAAGCTATGTAATGTAATGTAAGGTGGACTCGTTTTCCGCACTTAGACTCTCTTCTTGTCCGTTGTGCGTGAATAAAGCTATATATATATATATATATATATATATATATATATATATATATATATATATATTTGTTAACGGAGACTCTCAAAGATGACAGTGATATAGAACGTGAGCGTCGAGCCCTTGCTGATAGATGTAACATGATTGCGCGCAGGTTTTCTCGTTGTAACCAGGACGTAAAAACTGCTCTGTTTAAAACATACTGTCAGAATTTATATACATGTCAACTGTGGTTCAATTATACAACTGTTCAGTACAATGATGCTTACCGGACTTTGATCAATTTACCGAGGTTCTGTAGCGCATCTGATATGTTTGCTTCAGCCAGGATACCAGATTTTTTGCGGTGGTCCGTTCCAGAATTTCTGCATTCTGGGATCGACTACGTAATTCTAATAAAGAGATTCTACGTGTAATGGGCGAGTACTTGAGTGTTGACTTTCTCCGGCATTGGTTGACACAGCAATGCGATAGAAATAAAAAGTAGATAATGGTATTTTAATGTTTTTATGTATATATTTTATCATAATTTTATTGTAACTATATTGTAGACATTTTATATTGGCGAATAAGCCTGAAATAAAAACATTATATATATATATATAAATATATATATATATATATATATATATATATAATATGTAGGGCATATGTTATTTAACTATTTGTATGTAAATTAATACCTTAATTAATGTAGGACAGGTGTACCGACGACCTAATTAAAATTATTAAATAAATATTTAAAATGTAAATGAAATTTTAGAGGAACTTACAAAAAATTCATAAAAAAAGTTCACCTGCCGCAAACCGCTTAATCAGTAAACCGGCAACTTTTGCGTAGAATGCGCGTGCCGCGTGCGCAGCTATGTCCAGATATTGATATTTAGAAAATCACTAAAAAATATTTCACATCAAGTAAATAAATATATGTTATGTGTTAAAAATATATATAATAAAAAGATAAAATGTCAAATGTTCCGTTAGTTCGTCGTGCTATCGCGGGGGCTGCGTTGGCCCACAGTTCCGCGACCATTGAAGTCGAACCCTTAACCCTAACTCCTGTAGAAAGTGAAGGAAGCCAATGGACCCCCGCAGCTTTAGAAAGGGCTGGCTCTACTCTAAAAGCACTTAATCGCATGGCAAAACGGCCTCCTGTTCATATTTTATTTGAAGATGTCGGATACACTATCGGCTCGGGGAAAGGTAAGTACAAAAATTATATCGTCATTCTGCATTTTAAATTTCTTTTCTAATGATATAAATAATAAAATGAGTAATTATCTATTTATACAAAAAGTTATTATTTTTATTGCCTTAATAATTATATAACAATTTCCAAAATATTAAAATGTCGAGACATTGTTAATTTTTTTTTTAATAAAATAAAAATCTAATTTTTTTATTACAATTTATTTAGTGTAGATGTGTACATTTTGCGGCACTATTTTATTTCATGTTAGTGGCATTTAATTTAAAAATAATCAGTGGAGGGTATTTCGTTTAATTTCAAAACGGTCAATATTTTTGTATTTGGTAGGTGTCCCAGTGAATAAAAAAAGAAAATATATTCGTAAATATAACCTATAAAAGTTGACATATTATATTCGTTATACATAATATTATATTCGTTTTAGATAAAAAAAATTAACAAAAATCACAAAAATGCTTAAATTATATCTCGATAAGCAGCAAACTTAATATTTATAAGGAGCGCTTAAATATACAATATTTTTCCCTACAGTATTTTAAGATGTTTTTTTTTATTTATTTTTTCTTTTATGTGTCAAAAGTAGTTTCTATGCTTTATTTCTATGCAATAGAATTTGACAGTAAAAGATTGCATCATTTCATTCGTAAAATTTAAATATTTAAATGCACTGTAACTTATTTTGACGCTCGCGCGTATAGTATGTTACGTGTTTATTGGACGACATTAACCTGAGGAGTCAAAAAGAAGCCGAAATCCAAAGTGCATTGTCCTCCACGGACACGGCTTGTCAATCTATATCTATACTAATATTATAAAAAGGTAAAGTTTGTAAGATTATGAGTTTGTAACATTGTAGGGGGGTAATTTCTGGATCTACTGAACCGATTTAGATGAAATTTGGTAAGAAGATAGTTTGAGACCCGGGGAAGGACATTGGATACTGTTTATCCCGGAAATCATCCCTTAAAGGAGTGAAAATGTGGATGAAAGTTTGTATGGGGAATCAAGCTATTATTATTATTATAAATAAACGTAAAAGGTATAGTTAGTAAAGTTCCAACAAATAAATAAATATGTAATTTAATATATTTACTTATCGCAGATCGTTGTATAATAATAATAAGTTTAGTCACCCGATAAGGTGAGCACAAAATATTTTAATAAGATATGCTCTAATTACTACGTTCATATAATCAGTAATTATTTATCGAATGTTTAATCCATACATATAATAAAATTGTAACTAAGCCGAATCTGTACATTAAATATTTTTTTGGAAAAACTTATTGCAAAAGACATTATTATCGATACAGAGGCGAAATTTATAGTTTTTAGAATTTTTGTCTGTCTGTCTGTTACCGCATCACGGAAAAACCACTGGAGGGATTTTGATGAAATTTGGTATGATGGTAGCTGGTTATCCGGGTCAACATATAGGATATTTTATACCACGGGAAAATATCTCATTTTTGAGAAAAAATACAAAAATGCAATGTAGGAGTATTTACTATTTATTTATTTTTATTTATTACTGAATTGGGTGTGGTAATGTAAAAGTATACTAATATGTAAAACCTAAGAATTTGTATTTTGATCATCTGAACGCGGGCGGAGCTGCGTGCTTTGCTAGTTTAAAATAAATACATTACGTATAGTACCTACCTACAGACATCGCTTGGCAATAAATTAAAAAAAAAATTTAACTCAGAATTATGTAGACTACGTCCGCCAAAATATATGTCAATGTCAAAATAGTAGCGTGATTTGCTATTTATGCTAATATTCTCGATTTTGCAATAGATATTTATTTACTTTCTTCAAAAAATAAGGGAAATATTATTACAATTTTTGAGAATAAAATATGAATATTAAAAATAGTTAGATATTCTTTTCTATTCTTTAAGTATCCATTTTCTTTAATTAGCTTATTTGTTTTTTTTTTATTATTTATAAACATTCATTTATTTATCACTCAATGTACTAATTGTCATTTGTATACTATTTTTGAATATTATACATAAGTATATTATTATAAAACATTGTTTGGCTTCATATTTAGTTCTATGACATTCTGTTTATAATATTACTAACAGAACCCGTGGCTTCGCTCGCGCTAAAACTATAAAAAAGACTCTAAAAAGGTAGGTTTCGTACAAACTTTCATCCTCTATTTTACCCTCTTATGGGATGAATTTCAAAAAATGCTAAAACACATATTTATTTAATTATATTGAAGCGCAATAATACCAAGTTTCAAGTAATTCTGTTCATATATATATTTTTTGGGTTATATTATAACGTGTTCTCCCTTGAGAATGAGATTATATCCCGCTATAAAAAGTAGCCCATGTTACTCTCCAGCTCTTCAACCATGTTCATACCAAAAATCAACCAATCCGTCACTCCGTTTCGACGTGAAAGACAAACAAACAAACAAACAAACAAACAAACAAACACACTTTCACATTTATAATATTAGTATGGATTTCTTAGTAACTTAGTAAACAGGAAAAGCAATATAATAGAAAATATAAATAAGTACAGATTCACATTGTATGATTTATGTTAAAAAAATACCAAAAGTTTATAATTTTGCTTTTTTTCTAACAATTAGTGAGTAACAGTATTATAATAAACAACCTTTGCCATAAATGCATAAACAAAAACTAATCTTGAAAAAATAATGGAAAATTGAAAATATATTTTTTTGTAAATATGTTGTTTCTAAAAATTAAACAAAAAATGATCTATTCACCATAAAAACTATCGGACATCGAATTGGCGTCACAATATGACCGATACCTAAAGAAACCAGTCTTTTGTTCCATGTAATTATTAAAATTAGTTTGATAAACAAAAAATATGCACAATTTAAATGTTCTAATCATTCCCCGTTCAATAAAATATATGAATATTTATTAGTGTATAACGGGTTTTAGATTGACCTTGACACGTGAAGGCATCATAGAGGATGTTAGGGCTCAAAGCTCATGGTATTGGGGAAATGGTTTATGATCTGTAGTTATTTGCATAAACGAATTATCAAAATTTTTGTTTATCGCATTATTTATAGTGTATATATAATATTACGTATTATTTTAATTGATCTTAAATACAAAAATATATTACTTCTTAATAAACGATAATACAATGCAAAAAAAATAAACACAGGTATATCCATACTAATATTATAAATGTGAAAGTGTGTTTGTTTGTTTGTCCTTCTTTCACGTCTAAACGGAGAGACGGATTCGCGTGATTTTTTGTGTGGAGAATGTTGGAGGACTGAAGAGTGACATAGGCTACTTTTTAACGCGAGAGATTATCTAATTCCCACGGGAAAACACGTTATAATACAATCCAAAAAAATATTTATGATCAGAATTACGTGAAATTTGGTAATAATGCTCTTCAATAAAATTAAATAAATACGCGTTTTAGCATTTTTCGAAATTCATTCTATTCTATAAGGAGATAAAAATAGGGGATGAAAGTTTGTATTAAAACAACCTTTTTAAATATTTTTTGTAGTTTTACCGCGAGCGAAGCCGCGGGTTTTACTAGTATATAATATATTTAAAGTTATTTCGGTAAAAAATAAATAAGAAAATAGGTTAAAACAGCAACATACATATAAAATTATATATAAACTTACGTAATAAAAATATAAATATTTTTATTTCATTTTGTTTAACCTTTAAAATATTCCTTTTATAGGTACTTATTCAATTAATTAATAACATTTAAAAAAATCAAGTGGCTAAATGATGAAATGTTCGAAGAAGTATGCACTATTAACATTTTTATACTACGTAGTTACTTTTTAAGTTTATAGAGTGCTATAACAATTATAAGTTTGAATTACTGAAGTGTTACTACAAACTTACTATTTGAAATGGGCGCACCTTTTCCTTCTCACATAACTAATGAATAAAGTTTTCATATTCAACCTTACCTTACGAGCCGTTTTGTTTAACTTAGAAAGGCTTTAGAACACATACACCCCGTTATTATTGTTTCTACACCAATATTTGTTTTGATAGCACCCTCGTATAAAATCAAATGATAGATATCGTGTTTCTCATAAACTTTCAAACTGTTAATAAACTGGAATGTGTTAACAGTTAGATTACTTTAACGTTTATAGGAATTATATTGCAGTATATTAATTCGAAATACATTTTTAAATATAAAACCGAGCAAGTGAGTGTCGGGGCTCGCGCAACAGATTCTTTAATCGAAAAACGCGACCCCCACACTTAAGGGTAGAAGAGAAAAAAAAACATCTGGACACAACAAAAAAACACAGGATACATGTAGAGCAAGTACTTACCTACTCTAAAGATTTTTTTTAAGATTTTGTTTTACCCCTTTCTCAGCGTGACTAATACATATGTAATATATGTATATCAATGTAATATGTATATCAAATTACAGCTATCTAGGCTCTGAGCTAAGCTGCGGACAGACGGATGGACGGACATGGCGAAACTATAAAAAACTAATAAAATAATAAAAATCTATACTAATATTATAAATGTGAAAGTTTGTGAGTATGGATGTTTGTTACTCTTTCACGCCAGAACGGCAGAACGCATCTGGGTGAAATTTGGCACAGAGATAGATTATAGTCTGGAATAACACATAGGCTACTTGTGATATAGGTTTGTTTTTGTTATACTAGAGGCGAACCCGAGCGAAGCAAGGGTGAACCGCTAGTATGTTATGATTTATTTTGATATGTACCACGTTATCTGTCCTTGTGTAATTCTTATTTGTGCTTTGTGGCTACATCAGGAAATCACTTATTGCCCAATTAAATACAAACATTTTAATAAACTTCATTTAACTGAGTAAATATGAATATATCAAATATTGTGGAATATAAAAATACTTCCTAATTAATATCGGTTGAAACTTTTAATGATGTTTTTAGCTTCCATATAAATACTTATGTTTTATTTTACTTCAATGACTTAATTTATAATCGTATACAGGTTAGAGAACTAAGCGCCTAGTACGAGTTTTAATACATTTCGAAACGATAACGAGTTTCATAACATTTAAGAATATTTTTCTAGGATTCTTAATAAAGTTTTCTCGTACTAGTTAATATGGACATAAATCCCGTCTTGGAATGTTAATAACATCTAAGGGCACTGACCAATGGCGTCATCACAGATGGTACAGTGTCACTTACAAATTGGCA